ATTTTGTTTTGGTTGTGAATGGTTGGGGCGGTTAGGTTCGGGGACATTTAGTAGCCAAATTGGATCCGTTAAGTATCACATCGGCGAACATCCACTCGCCCCTACACTCTGGTACGCCCAGTTCCCCGCAAGTTGTGCTTAGAACTCACAAATTAGGTATTCCTCCCTCACGTCCACCGCTTCTTATGATTTGCTTTTTGCACTCTTTTTTGGTTTCATTTTCTCACTAATCCTATCACTACTACTAAGACTAAAATTGTTTGAAAACAAATGTTTGAATCGTTATAAGCAATGCGTTCACAGTCTATAACAGTGTATACCTTATATTTCTGACCATACATTAGATCCGAGGCCACTATTTCGCCAGTTTAGACCCCCTCAGCATTAATGTCACTAACTTTGACAGAGACGGCGCTTGGCTTAAGGTTCATAACTTGGGTAACAATTCACTCACTTTCCACAAAACACTAAACTCTCGCTTTAGCTTTCATTTCACTCTCATTTGTCTAAACAAAAACTAATGTTTGCGTTAAATAACAATCAGAGGAGAAGGATATGGACCGTCTGTTTAAGCTTCCGTCGACCACTTTCATCGGTGGCGGCGAATCGGTTCTGCCCTTAAGGGAGATACTGAAGCGCTTGGAGGACGTGTACTGTCAACACATTGGCGTCGAGTATATGTTTATCAATAACTTAGAGCAGTGCCAATGGATTCGCGAGAAGTTTGAAACCCCGAAAATCACTCAACTCTCGGTCGACCAGAAGCGGACAGTATTGGCCCGAATGACTCGTTCGCATAAGTTTGAGGAGTTTTTGGCTAAGAAGTGGTCGTCTGAGAAGCGATTTGGTCTCGAGGGCTGCGAAGTGTTGATTCCGGCCATGAAAGCCATTATTGACTTCTCGAGCGAAGCGGGAATTGAGAGTATAGTGATGGGAATGCCTCACAGGGGACGGCTCAACGTGTTGGCCAACGTCTGTCGGAAACCTCTGGAACAGATCTTCGCTCAATTCAGTAGTTTAGAGCCGGCGGATGAGGTATTGACACAAAATGACATTATCTTTATGCAGTTCTGTTGAGCTAACACTGGGACACCACCACAGGGTTCGGGTGATGTGAAGTATCACTTAGGGATGTCTCACGAGAGACTCAATCGCGTGACTAATAAGAACATAAAGTTGGCGGTCGTGGCCAACCCCTCGCATCTGGAGGCGTGTGACCCCATCGTTGAGGGCAAGACTAAAGCCGAGCAGTTCTATCGCGGGGACACTCAGGGAAAGAAAGTGATGTCAATCCTATTGCACGGCGACGCGGCCTTTGCCGGACAGGGAGTCGTCTACGAGACCTTCCATTTGAGTGATTTGCCCGACTATTCAACGCACGGAACCATTCATATAGTGGTCAACAATCAGATTGGTTTCACAACTGACCCGCGAGTGGCCCGATCCTCTCCGTACTGCACAGATGTGGCGCGTGTGGTAAACGCCCCCATCTTTCACGTGAACGCTGACGATCCCGAGGCTGTGGTCTACGTGTGCACCGTTGCCGCCGAATGGAGGGCCAAGTTTGGCAAAGACTGTATCATTGATTTGGTGTGTTATCGACGCAATGGTCACAACGAAATCGACGAACCGATGTTCACTCAGCCGCTGATGTACACGAAGATCCGAAAACAGGTGACGTGTTTGGATCAATACGCCCGTAAACTCGTCGAAGAAAACAGTGTTTCCGAGGCTTTTGTGGAGGAACTCAATGATAAATACGATGCGATTCTGACGGAAGCCTATAAAAACGCTGAGAAGGAGGTGAAGATGTATAACAAAGACTGGTTGGACTCGCCGTGGAGTGGGTTCTTCGGCACCAGAAGTGAGCTGAAGTGCGACCCGACCGGTGTGGCCGAGGATGTGCTCAAACACATCGGCACTCAGTTCAGTACTCCTCCGCCGGGAAACTTCAAAATACATCCGGGAATCAAACGGATCCTTAAATCGAGATTAGAAATGATTGAAAACCGATCAGTCGATTGGGCGCTCGCGGAGGCCATGGCTTTCGGGTCGTTACTTAAGGAAGGCATTCACGTGAGACTCAGCGGACAAGACGTCGAAAGAGGAACTTTCAGTCACAGACACCACGTCTTACACCACCAGACGATTGACAAGACAACGTACAGACCGTTATGTCACTTATATCCAGATCAGGCGCCGTATACCGTATGCAACAGTTCTCTGTCGGAATACGGAGTCATGGGATTCGAGTTAGGCTTCTCTATGACTAATCCGAACGCATTAGTCATATGGGAGGCACAGTTCGGTGACTTCTTCAACACCGCTCAATGTATTGTCGATCAATTCATAAGCAGCGGTCAGGCAAAGTGGGTCCGACAGAGCGGTCTCGTGTTGTTACTCCCGCACGGAATGGAGGGTATGGGTCCCGAACACTCCAGTGCTCGACCCGAACGCTTCCTACAGCTCACGAACTCAGAGTCCGACGAGTTTCCGGTCAGTCCTCTAGAAATATATATCATTTGATTTTATTATTTAATATTTGTGTTCAATGCTTAGCAAATCGATGAGGACTTTACAATGAAGCAGTTGCACGACATTAATATGATCGTGGCCAATTGTAGTACGCCCGCCAGTTATTTCCATCTGTTAAGACGACAAATAGCCCTTCCCTTCAGGAAACCCGTAAGTTTTGACGCTCTAATAAATGTCGTAAAATTGCAGTAAATAACTTTTTTCAACGAATAGCTCATCATATTTACGCCTAAATCGCTTCTCCGACATCCGGAAGCGAAGTCCAGTTTCGATGAAATGAATAGCGAATCCCGTTTCTCACCAATTATTCCAGACTCGGGTGCGGCGGCAAAAAACGCCCAAAACGTCAAACGAGTGGTGTTTTGCACGGGAAAGACATTCTATGATTTGACGAAAGAGAGGACCGCCAAAGGTCTGGACAACGATGTGGCGATCACTCGCATCGAGCAGTTGTCTCCCTTTCCATTCGACTTGATTCGCGACGAAATCCTGAAGTACCCGAACGCTGACCTCGTGTGGTCTCAGGAGGAGCACAAGAATCAGGGCTTTTGGTCGTATATTCACCCCCACATCGACTGTGTGTTACAACACCTCAACCTCTCGCATAAAAAACTTAGGTTTGCGTTCAATGAGAATCGCATNCCGAACGCTGACCTCGTGTGGTCTCAGGAGGAGCACAAGAATCAGGGCTTTTGGTCGTATATTCACCCCCACATCGACTGTGTGTTACAACACCTCAACCTCTCGCATAAAAAACTTAGGTTTGCGTTCAATGAGAATCGCATGAATTGAATGAGTGTTATTGACATTGAAATAAATCTGTTTGAATAGCTATGCGGGAAGGGCTGTCTCGCCATCGACAGCGACCGGTAGTAAACACATCTTCAAGAAGGAGTACGCGAAGCATATGAATGACACGTTTGCGTTCTGATCCACGGATTCACCGACACCTCCGATGCACTCGACTTAGAAATGATCGAAAAATAAATAAATTTATATTATTAATATTGTTAATATTTTAAAATAAGTTCTGTATTTCTGAGTTATCTCTCATTTTATTTGTGATAAAATTAGGAAAATTTGTTTTATTATGAAAACGATATTTTATTTTTGATTTTTTTGAATTAAAGCATTAAAACAGTTCTCAAGTTATGTAGTCTTCAGAACAATAATAAAACGAAGATTTTAGCCAAAGATATGAGTGTTATTTCATTACATTGAATAACAATTAGTACACTTTATAACAAACCTTTGTTTTAATTGTCATTCTTATTAATTGACGCAAATAAATGCTAAGTTATAAAAATTGTGAAGCGATTTCGTAATATTTATCACTTAATTGCATTGACACTAGGAATCCTAGGAATTATTGCTATTAATATGACCTTTATATTGAAATGCAGATTAATAATAACCAATTAGTAAATAAATAAACAATATTTCGCAAACAAAGTTTTGCTAATTGTTTGTTCATTGCATGAAATAAGCGATTTTCGCATTGCTTACTGTATATTTGTTTAAAACTTATCTTATTATAACTCTTATAAATTATTTTCTAAAGCGAATAACAAGTATTCACTAGTAAGTCATAAAAATTCATGAAAAATATTTTCTCAATAACAGACAATTATTTAAATTGAAGGTTTCTATCTTTGTCAATGAGAATCAGTTCAGAAAAATGCATAAAATTTCTATTAAATAATATTATTTTAAAGATTAAGCCGAAGACGAATCATAAGTTTGTACTTTAATTACCTTTTATTGCTATATTTTCCGCTGCTTATAAAAAGTGATAAAAAAGTTTTATACCTTTGCCTAAAAGGTACTTTAGTTACATGTTTTAAATGTATTAAATCATATATAACTGCGTGCGAGTCATTAGTTGCCTTTTATTTGATTGTGTCACTCGTGAAAAAATGGTCAAACATTTGAGAAAAAGTTTTAAAAACTTTATGACAAAGAAGAGGAACAGCGATTCCGACGCTTTGTCACCAGTTATTCAGTTAAATAGTGAACCCATTGATGGAAATCATTCGGAAGAAGAGTATTACTCCAAAGTTAATAACTATTTAAACAATGGATTTAAAGGTCTCGAACGGGATTTATCCAGATCATCTTCGAGCACGTCGTTGAATAGTATTGGCGACAAAAAACTGAGGAAAAGTAAGAAAATTGCGAATAATTTGACGAAAGAAGGAATCCAAGTGATCGCGGAATTGATTAATCACTTGCAGACAAACAAACAAATAGTGAAAAACAAGTTAGAGATCGATAGAGAAGATCTGGAACTATTGCAAAGTCTGGAAAGTGCTGTCGATTTGGATAAGTTCTTCGAGGAAAAAGAGTCTAAAGTTAAAGACAAGTTATGGCGAACGCCCTATACCTTCACCAAAAGAGACAATAGAAATGCCACCGATTTATCCGCCAATGGCTTACATCCTATTAATCGATTCGGTGACGGAGTACAAGACGGATGCAATATATCTTTTAGTTTGGCATCAAAAGGACGAAACTTTGGCGATGTCTTCCAAAAGACGTTGGAGTGGAACGACATCATAGAAGAGGCCGACAATGTGTTGAATGAGTTCGAGAATATCAAGAGAGGAAACGCGCGAATGTCGAGAAGGGGGTCACTCCTGCAGCCCAGGTATATCTTCTTGAGTCCACACCCAGAGGTTACGTACGAGAGAGTCCTTCAAAGCGCTAATTCTCTACCACTGAGAGCGTGGACTTCAGAGCTATTTCTTGAATCCAAAGAGAGCTCACAATTAATGGATTCCGAGAACCGACAGAATCTGAAGCGGAACGCATCGCTCGAAGACTTCAGACACCTGTTGTCTCCAGAACTGAGCCATTTTGGTAACGATGTCTACTCCGGGATGATTCAGGCCAAGCGACGACTAAGTCTTTGTCCACCACAACCCGTCACTCAGTCTATACCTTTCCGTCGTAACAGTTATCTAAACGGAGAGGTTTGGGCGCAAAGTGATAGCAAGTGTCATAAAAAGAGAGACTATGACCATAAACTTGGAGTCATTAGACAGAACTCTGGAGTCAATTCTGTGAATATTAGTCCAGAAATGGTAAAAAAGTCTCAAACATCTAACG